GTGGGCCTGGAGCCTGAGGGGATCCAGACGTCTGCAGGAGCTGCATCAACGCTAATGGAGGGCTACAATATTGCGCACACACAGAAAACACATCTGTCCATAGAGAGACGCACAGATGAAAGTGGCATCTCCCTCGGTCTAGTTTCTTGATCCTCAACTTTAAAACTTTTTACTCCATTTTTTTTCCTGTTGTCAACAGCTCACTTATTTAGTAACTTTCATTTTCAAGTTAGGAAGAATTTAACTGACTTGCCTAATCAATTTCTTGGACAGGTTAGAACCCATCTTTTGAATTTTAGTCAACTCACCCTTCCCCGGATGATTTATCTCATGGTTCTCTAGTAACAAAGCATACAAAATAAGGATTAGCTCAGGAAGTCGGAGAGTTGTGACTGTTCACTTGACGTAGTGTATGACCTTAGAAGGTCGTCTCAGTGAGCAGTTGTCTAGATTAGATTGGCACGTAGGCGTGCCTGTGAGCGGTTTTCTTAATTGTGTTAACTGAGGTAGAGAGAACCACGTGGAATGTGAGCAGTACCATTTTGTAGGCTGGTCTGTAGACTGAGTGAAAATGAGAGAAGGTCCTAAGCCCCAGTGTGCATGCACTAATTCATGCTCTCTACCTCTGACTGTGGCTGTAACGTCCCTAGCTGCTTCAAGTTCTTACCTTCTTGACTCCAGCACAATGATGGACCAATAACCCCTTTCATCCTCAAGTTGCTTTTCTCAAGTTAATTTATTATAATACCAGAAAAAAAAAACTAAGACAGCAGGCACACTCTTACCCCACTAAATCTATTTAAACTAAATGAAGCATTTAGACATTGGTGCAAATTTCCTTTAGAAAACTATTTAGGTAAGGTATTGTTTTGTTTTGACTTTCCTGCTTCTGAGCAGTTCTGAGCCCAGAGAGAGTAATTTTATACTAGTTAGGGCAAAAGGCCACCCTGAGGTGCAAGCTGCCTCACGTGGAGAGGGGCCACTGCAGTTCCTCATGCAACAGGTTCATGAGAGGTCTCCCATCATGTTTGGGAGTCTGGGGAGGCTCCGATAGGCTCTCTAAGTCCTCTTTCTCAATAGACTTCAGGCACATTGTTTGAACAGAGCATTTCTTTGTCTGACGGCAGATTCTTTTTGTCTCCGCTCTAATTGTAAAATGTAGGCACCCATCTGTACAACTCAGCTTTCAGCCAGTGCTTTCCTTAGACTGCAACACGTTCCCTTGACAGTAAGTGGTTAAGTAATATTCTAATCATCATCACAATGAAAAGGAATATTTTACTGGAAAATAAAGACAAGAGTGTCTGTTGGAACTTAATATGCCCAGATCCTCAGTTTGCAGGGACTGTTGTGAGTTGGAGCTCCCCCAGCCAGCAGGGAACATTAGCTCTTGAATACAGTTGTCCTTACCTTCTCCACTGCTCCAGCTTCTTGCCTCTGCCAGCTATAGCTTCTCCAAGGGGAAAGAATACACTTATTCCCACATTCCAGCTTTTACTGACAGTGTATCAGCAGAAGGGGAGAACTTTAGGTGCTGCTGGGTAGCTAAACACATTTCTTTAGACACTGAAAATGAGATTAGAACATTTACTTTATGACTAAGATGGAAATTTTTTGGGATAATACTGAAGGATTTGATGTTCTGTTTCATGATATCATGATTATCATTTAAATGATCAACAAAACTAATGATGGATCAGGCTCTTGCTGGCAGATAAAAATATGCCTAATGTACCGTGAGGCAGCGACACGTGCAGCTGAAAACACATCAAGTCGCTTTTAGCAGGATATGCCAGGATGCCAGCAACACGGCTGAACATTCAGATTTCACTTTGTAAGAATAAACCATGTGTAATAACAAGTGATTGACAATGTGTTATGAAGAGTAATTCAGGCTTCAGAAAATGAGTGATTTCAGGGAGAAAAACAGAATGGAGCACGAACAGAGTTAATTTAGATTTGATACAATGATTTTTGAAAATTATATGAAATTGCAGAGTTTGTTACCAAATATCCTTGTACTTGTTTAAAATTTTAAAACCTTCAAAAACAATCTTGGGCTGAAGTTGTAGCTCAGATGACGGAGCACAAACGAAGCCCCGGGTTTGATCCCTTACGCCACGGAAGCTGGACGTCTCAGTGCGCACCTGTGATCCTAGCACTCGAGAAGCAGAGCAGAAGAAAGATCAGGAATTCAAGGTTATCCTTGCAAACCCACTGAGTTCGAGCCTGTGCTACATGAGACCCTGTCTCAAAAGAAACTGTGAATAAGTAGGTCTTATGAAGTTGAATTCTTCCCCCATTTTTTTTCTTGCAATCTCCAGTGTTATTCAGCTCCACACTCTGCCATGGTTTCACCTGATGTCAGTGTTGAGACGTCTGCTGCCATGTGTGATGTTTTGTTTGAGTTTTGAACATTTATGCAAATATCTTTTGACTACATGAAGTAAACATCGTATCATTTTTATTTCTATACTTGGGTAACATATATAGGGTAACATAAAAATTATGCAATCTTTATCAAGCCTGATGTTATCTCTTATTGCCATATTTTGAGATCTACCTATTTTGAAAAATATTTGAATAGTTTATTGCTTTCATTGGCTTTTAACTAGCTGGTTGTGTGAATACATTTTATTTATATATCACTTGCTTATTGAGTTTAAGTACATTATCTTTGGACCTTGCCTTTGTCAAGGTTCTATTGCTGTGAAGATGATCAAGGCAACTCTTTTTTAAAATATTTTTTATTTTAGTTTTTTTTTTTCATTTTACACACCAACCACAGTTCTCCCTCCCTCTCCTTCTCCCGATCCCTTCCTCACCTCCCTCTCCTCAACTATGTTCATAGCAGCATTATTCATAATAGCCAGAACCTGGAAACAACCTACATGCCCCTCAACCAAAGAATGGATAAAGAAAATATGGTACATTTATACAATGGAGTATTACTTGGTGGTTAAAAAAACAAACAAACAATGGATTAAGGCAACTCTTATGAAAGAAAGCATTTTACTGGGGGGCTTGCTTACATTTCAGAGGTTTAGTCCATTACCATCATGGTGGGGAGCATGGTGGCATGCAGGCAGATACTGGAGCAGTAGCTGAGTGCAACATTCTGATCTGCAGACAGAAAGAAAAAGCCTAGGCCTAGCATGGGCTTCTGAAACCTCAAAACCCACCTCCAGTGACATGCGTCCTCCACCAAGGCCACACCTCATCATCCTTCTAATCCTTTCAAATATATGAGCCCATGGAGGCCATTCTTATTCAAACTACCGCAGACATTTATCTTCCAGAGAGACACTCACTATAAGAAAATGTACTTTTAAAGAAAGAAGTAAAAAAAAAAAAAAAGTCAGGCACCAAGCAGCCCAGGGGGGTGGGTGCCCCAGGTCTGTGGTGGAGAAATGGGAGAGAAGGAAAAGTGGAGCAGTTCATGTGCTGTGGAGGGAAGCCAAACTGTGAGGAACGTGAGAGATGACAGTGAGGAACAGGCCGGTATGGGCAGTCTACAGCTGCCACCTGGGGCCAAGGGATGTCTGGGCCTGTGCTGCTGCCAAGGGCCATGTCTGGGTCCCTGGCCCTACTGCAGCTGGAGTCTGTGTTGATGACCATGGCCCATGTTGCCATTGAAGGCCATATGGATGCCTGAGTCTGAGGGCCATGTTGCCCCTGGACTTTACTAATCTGAGTGACTTGCACTGCCATTTAAGGCCATCATGACATCTAGGCCTGAGCTGCAGCGGATGGCCATGTTTGGAAGAGCTGGCCCCACCTCTCACCATCCCCGATGGCTTGGGCTAGGGAAAAACTGACCCTGACCCTCGCCTAAGGAGGATGGTCCTGGTGGAGGTTGGGCCTACCAACTCAGCAATAGGCCCATATCCAAGACCTTGAGCTGGCCCACTGAGGGAGACCTGCCTCCACTTTTCCCCCCAGGATACTCTTGAGCAGGGAGAAATGAGGAATATGCAGATAGAAATATAGAGGAGAGAGACCTTAGGAACATAGGGTAGCCTCAGGAGGGCCTGGATCCAAACCTTCTGTCTCTTCTAAACAGCTTTTAAAGGAATGTCAAGGGGTGGAGCAAAAGACCCCCCACCCCCCAGCACAGCCAAGTGCAGACCATCCCAGACCTGGTGACCATGCACATGGTCAAGCCATCCCCTAATGCAGGCCTGCTGTGTAAAACAAGCTCAGATCTTACTAGGAAGCTTTTGTGGGCTCCCATAGCCCAATCTAACACCTACACCCCATCTATGAGCTGCTGGAGTCCACGGAGGGGACCAGTCTTGTGGAAACATAGCTGCAGGAACTCTGTAACTGGGACAATAGTGGTATATTGAAGAGAAGTTTCTATGAGGGTCCAATATTGATGGTGTACCAAAAGCCCAAGGCCTTGAACTGGGCCAGCAACTCTAAAGAGAACACTGTGTAGCACACTGCAGCTCCCAAGGCCACTACCAAAAACAAATGTGTGATGGAGAGGTGGGAAAGATGGAGGAGGGAAGTGTTTTTTCTTCCTTTTTTTTATTCTTTTTCTATTTTAAAATTGTCTTTTGTGGAGGGAGGATACAAGGGTGGTGGGCAGACATGGAAGAACTAGGAAATAAATGTGACTGGAGTGCATGATGTGAAATTCCCAAAGAGTCAATAAAAAATTATGTTAATAAAAAATAATAGTTGCGATAGTGATTTAATATAAGAATTTAGTCCTGTAATTATATAAAATGTGTCAAGTTTTATTTCTTTTTAACTGAAATAGAATTATATCACTTTTCCTCCCTCCACCCCCTTGTGTTCCCCTCGACTCTCAAGTTAATAGTCTCTGTGTTCTTTGTAATTCTTGTTACATACACATATATGTAAGTATGTGAATACATGCATATATTCATTTCCATAATGCTGTAGGTGAACTATAGCATGTCTGAGTGACAGAAATATGTAAAAATGGAGTCGATTTGTAATAGTGAAGTCTTTCTTTTCGTCGCTATCAGGTGCCTCAAGTTGAAGTGCATTTTTTTGTGGAGCTGTATGACGTCACTGCTGGAGCAGCTATAAACAACAGCGCCAGATTCGCTCGGATTAAAGTTTCCAAGACTGACGCACCTCAGAGTCTCCTCTCCTTCTCTGTGGGTTCTCGGCTGGCAGTGGCTCATAAGAAGGCTACTTTGATCAGTTTGCAGGTGGCCAGAGACTCTGGGACAGGAAGGATGATGTCTGTCAACTTTAGTACCCAGGTAGGCATGAAAAGTAAAGCCATCTATGTTCAGATTCTTCTCATCCATGAGGAATATCAATAATCTAAATAATCAATAATCTAAACAGTATTTTCTGAGGATACCGTGACAACCTGCTGTAGCTAGAGTTTTCCTGCCTGGCCCACAGTCAGGACAAATCTCTCTCACCTGCCAGTCCCACAGCCACTCAGACCCAACCAAGTAAACACAGAGACTTATATAAATCTATAAATCTATATCTTGCCACGTAGCTTGTGGCTTACCGGCATCTTCACATGCTGCTTGTCATGGCGGCGGCTGGCAGTGTCTCCTTCTGCCTTCCTGTTCTTTCTTTTCTCCTCTCTGTTAGTCCCGCCTATACTTCCTGCCTAGCCACTGGCCAATCAGTGTTTTATTTATTGACCAATCAGAGCAACACATTTGCCATACAGAACAACCCACAGCAACCTGCTGTTTATTTAATGTATTGTTTTACCATTACGTCCGGTCAGTTTTTCGCTCATCACTAAGAAATTGTGTTTTTGTTTTTTGTTTTTTGGTTTTTTTTTGGTTTTTCGAGACAGGGTTTCTCTATGTAGCTTTGCGCCTTTCCTGGGACTCACTTGGTAGCCCAGGCTAGCCTCGAACTCACAGAGATCCGCCTGGCTCTGCCTCCCAAGTACTGGGATTAAAGGCGTGCTCCACCACCGCCCGGCTTAGAAATTGTGTTTTAAAATTGCGGTTTTCTGTTCTGATTGCTCTGTTTGGCAGAGCTGATTGTCCGGCGCAAGCATCACGTTGATCTGCTCCGCCATGTTGCCGGAGTCTTAGCACAGCGCTTCCTCCTCTGTACTCTTGGAAACTTGAACAGGAAGCAGATATTGCCTACACCTCGTATTCGAACTAGTTGTGATTGTTTTCCTTCAGATCCTTAAATGCTGACTGAAATTGTGCTTTGAACAGCGCTGGCCTTGGGTGTCTGCACTCTCTGCCCTTCATCCTTTCATGTGGTGTCCAGTGAAGGACTAGCTGGGTTTATGGAGGTCTGGAAGAGGGACCCTGAGCACATGAAGAGACCAGAGCCTATGTGCTCATACACCTTTCCAGCAGCTGGTTTTTTGTCTTTGTTTTTGTTTTTTTGTTACTTTGTTTCACCAGCAAAATTCTAATATAGTAAAAAAAAAAAAAAAAAAAAGCAACTAAATAAACATGTGTGATCCATTCTGCTTGAAGCATGCTTTGTGCGATTATAGCTTGCCCACTTTAGCCCTCTGGGTTTTTTCTTTTATTGTTGTAGTTCTAGGAATTCAACAAATAGGACACTAGAATTGTGTACAGTGTTGTGATTTACCCCATTTTAAGACTCCAGATCTGGCGACCTAGGCCTCCAAGTCTATTCAACATTCTTTATGGTGTAGCTATTGTGAAGTAGTGTGGCTGTTGTGAAGTAGTGTGGCTAGTGTGATGTAGTGTGCCTAGTGTGAAGTAGTGTGGCTAGTGTGATGTGGTGTGGCTAGTGTGATGTAGTGTGGCTAGTGTGAAGTAGTGTGGCTAGTGTGATGTGGTATAGCTAGTGTGATATAGTGTGACTAGTGTGATGTAGTGTGGCTAGTGTGATGTAGTGTGGTTAGTGTGATGTGGTGTGGCTAGTTTGATGTAGTGTGACTAGTGTGATGTAGTGTGGCTAGTGTGATGTAGTGTGGTTAGTGTGATGTAGTGTGGTTAGTGTGATGTACTGTGGCTATTGTGAAGTAGTGTGGCTAGTGTGATGTAGTGTGGCTAGTGTGATATAGTGTGGCTAGTGTGAAGTAGTGTAGTTAGTGTGATGTAGTGTGGCTAGTGTAATAGAGTAGGGTAGATTTAGAATCATGGGTGGGGAGCTACCCTGGAAACTTGATAGGAGAGATCAGCTAACAGGAGACAATTCTCTGCTGTGTGAGACCCTAAAAATAAACTCTTTTATATAGTCTTACAGTACTACAAACACAGAAGGAAGCATCCATGTTGATATTTTAGTGTTTCCTTTAGCATGGTTATGACAGAAAGAAAAGTGAGAAAAATATGTGCTTTATGCTCATGCTTCTCCCAGGAAACATTTCACTATCAGGGCATGAGTTTGTAGGATAGACAAAGGGGAACTAGAGATAGGAACATATAATGAAGATGTCTGAGGCACTTTATGAACAAGCTCACCTGCCCAGATGAAGGACGTGAAGAGTCAAGAGCTAGATGGATATATATCTATCTCTATCTCTATCTATCTATTTATCTATCAATCTATCTATCCATGCAGACACAACTCTTATTCCAATTTCTATACACACTGCCCTGTGCTTACAGACTCAGTGCTGTGATACCAATGCTGTGTTAACAATTTTAACGTGGAAGTGAAAACTGGCATCTGAAGCTTTTCCTATAAATGTGGATTTTGTTTCTGGGAAGTTAGAGTAGATAAGCTTTTACTGCTGAGTACTGGGAATTATGTATGAAATAATATTAGGTAACTCTGAAACCACAGGGGACCAAACAGATGGGTAGGGATTTGGGCCCCAAATGGTACATGAAGAGGTAAGTTCCACAGTTCTCTTTTGCCTCATATCCAAGATTTTGAGCTGAAGAACTTGCCATATGGACGCTCTAATAGGAAAATAAAAAGCTAAAGACTATATAGATATGCTATCTGTAGTGCAAAGAACAAATTCCCCATACAGATACAATGTTTAGAGTGCGAGAGCAGGAATACCCCATACAATTATGCTATCTGTAGTCCAAAGAATGAAACCCTATACAGATATGCTTTCTCTAGTGCAAGGAACAGCGAAGGGACAGCTGAGCAAGACAGAAAGCTTTTAGTTGAAAATCTTGTATATTCTCTAGTCAAACATGCCAGAAAAACTTTACCTCAACTTTATCCACATCAGCAAAGTGTGTGTGTGTGTGTGTGTGTGTGTGTGTGTGTGTGTGTGTGTGTGTGTGTAGATTCATATCCTTTCCAGGAGCACCAGTCTCTGCGCATTGTGTCTAAGGACCTAATGTAGAGTTGGGGCTTTGCTTGCTGTCTGATAGTAAAAGGTCCCCAGCACTGACACAGTTTTAGTGGAGAACACTGGATGGTTGTGGAGAAATTCTCACACACCCCTTAGCCAGCAGATATCTGTGGAGGTGGTTTTATTGGCAAGATCTCACTCCACCTAACAATAAAGACAATTCTCTCCCTCCAGTGTCTCCAGAAACCAGTGAGGAAAACTGCCCTTTACCTCTCAGGAATGAGGTGGTAATTTTCTTTCTTTGGTCATAGCAGTGTCAAAGGAAGCCAGAAGAAAATGATAAAGAATAAACAATATCCAGAGACTCGTGAGATAAGATGCAACAGGTTAATAGTTATCTGTCATATCAAGAATAGGGATGATCTAAAATGGAATGAAAAATAATAATAAATAGATGCCAGTAGTAAGATGAGCCGAATGTGAGAAAGAATCAGTAAAATTATAACACAGACACCACAAAATGCTTTAATAAGTAAACAAGTGAAAGAAAGAAATTGTGTCAATAAGGAAAGAGGAACTCTTAGACAGTAAGTAAAGGACACACAGAACAGCAAACAGGAATTCTATACATGGAAATACACTAACTAAAATAAACTGGATAATCCCAGAAGCAGAATGAAGAGACAAAGGAGACTGCATTCCTTCCATACATACTGGCCTTCTAGTTCCTCCCATCATTTTATAGGGTTGTTCTCACCACAGAGCCTTTAAATTGCTATTTTCATTGCCTGGAATTTTTCTCTTTAGATCTAGAATCTGTCTCCTGGGGTTAGCATGTAGACAGTCCTTTAATGAGGCCTCTGTTGAGATTCCATGTCCAGCCTGGTTTATAATTGTGCCCTTAATATCCCCTGTGTTCCTGTCTCCACTTTGTCTTAGTTCCCTTCATAGAAATGCATGTAGCAACACACCATTAATTGCATAGTTTCATTCTGCGTGTCCTCTGCCAGAACCATGGGTTCTGGGAGTGTAGGTATTATGCTCATCAATTCTGCATCCCAATATATGTGCTGAAGTATACTAGGAATCTAGTCCTTAGTCAGTACTAAATAAAGACACACTATTTTGGCTTTTCCTTGGCTAAAGTATTCAACCTGAACTTTCTAAAACCTCTGCGACAACTATAATTTGAAAAGGTAGATGTGTATTACTTGGAAAACCAATCCAATAGCACATCTCCATACTGAAGGTTAAGAACAATCCAATTCCTTCTCCCCCTTCCCAATTTTTGCTCTTAGATCTCTCTGCCCATAAATTTCTACGTGAGATTAAAACATAAATATTTCCTCTCATCCTCATGTTTAGTTTTCCAGCATTTGCTGTGTGCATACCTAAAGATTCTTTTCTAGACAACAGTGTCATTTCATTTCTAGTTCTTTTCCTTGATTTGTCTCAGTGCCGAGCCCCTGTCCCTACCCTCGTCATCTCTGTGGCTTATTGAAGGCAGTTAGGAAAAGTATAAAGCCCATGTTTAGTGGCAGTGTAGTTACTGCCTGTTAGTTGACTGAAAAGAACGGGAGTTTGTTCAAGAATTAAGAATGATTTAGGATAACATTAGAGGCATCGTAGTCTCATTCTCCTGTCTCGGTTGAATTTTCAGGAGTTGAGGAGTGCTGAAACAATTGGTCGTGTTCTCATATCTCCGGCTGTTTCTGGAAAGGATTTCGTGAGAACAGAAGGCACACTGGTCTTTGAACCTGGCCAGAGAAGTGCCATGCTGGAAGTTGTGTTGACACCGGAGAGCGCGTCTTTCAATGCATTTCCTAAACGCTTCCAGATTGTGCTTTTTGACCCAAAAGGTGGTGCCAGAATTGATAAAGTGTATGGGACTGCCAACGTCACTCTTGTCTCTGATGTGGATTCACAAGCTATCTGGGGGCTTGCAGACCAGCTCCATCAGCCCCTCCATGAAGATGTTCTCAACAGAGTGCTGCACAACCTCAACATGAGAGTGGCCACAGAGAGCACGGATGAGCAGCTCAGTGCTCTGATGCACGTAATGCAAAAGGTAGGGCATCCTGGCAGCTGTACGACATGGCTCCGTGAGAGGGTCATAAAGCCTAAATCAGCGCAGATACCACGTCTGCTTATAACTCTCATTACTATGAAATTAGGATAAAATATAATCTCTGTACGTGAGAGTGGAATCCGTCCCACCTGCCACTGTACTTTCACTGAGCATCCTTGCTCTTAAATTGGAGAACCATAAGCAACCTGTGCAGCCAGAATCCAACCAGAGTTTGAAAGGCAGCAGCTGCTGGAGCCGATAGGTCCTTCCTGACACACCAGAGACTGACTTTTTTTTTTTTTTTTTTTGCCATTTGCTCATTAGTATTTGGAGTTCATAAGAAGACTCAGACTGGACTATAACCTATATTAATCCTCTCATGCATGAAGCATGAGCAGTCACTCCTCTGCTCTGCTCTTACTGGAAACTAACAAGTATTTGTTGAAAAGGAAGAATAAGAAATGCCCAGATAATATTAGGCATCAACTTGCATGGCCTTGCCATAGTCAGCTATTATATGAAATGAATTATTTATTTACCTGTCTATAAAATGTGTAATAACATAGAGATATAAAGTTTAAGATTGTAAATGGAAAATGATATCTAAAAAGAATTATTATTGAGGGGAAAGTTATTTATATAAATAATGTGAATATTCTTATAATATAAATATAAGATAAATAAAACAAATAATATAAATACTATTTATTTCCCATAAATATTACATATTCCTTTCATATGGAAAATGTTTGCAGTGTGATCTCAAAATATCATGCCTATTCTGCATATTTCTCAAAGCACAGGGCATGAAGGGTAGAAGAGAAAATTATAAAGCCTATCAGGTAAGAAGAGGCTATAACAAACCTTTGTAAAGCACAGAGAATGATTACCATTTTATGCAGAGTACACTCAAGATAGAATTCATGCCAAGGAAGAGTGATACTTAACCTTCTAATAATGAAACAGATACAATAGTAAATTGATCTTGACCAAGAGAGAAAAGCCATTTGTAATGACTACATTTTAGAGTAGAAAAAAGAAAATTTTAGATATTTTAGAGAAAAACAATGACGAAATGGAATTCTGATGCTCTTTTTTCCTCAGTAAGTTATATATTAAAGCCATGTTTTATCTTCAGTCAAAAGGCAACACTTAAAATGAGATATGGTGTAGGGCTGGAGAGATGGCTCAACAGTTAAGAGCATTGGCTGCTCTTCCAGATGACCACGGTTCAATTCCTAGCACCCACATGTGGCTCACAACTGGCTGTAGCTCCAGTCCAGACAATCCAATGCCCTCTTCTGGCCTCTGGGCACCAGGCACACATGTGGTACATAGACATGTATGCAAAGCACTGCTATCCAGAAAAATAAATAAATAGACAGACAGACAGATAGATAGATAGGTAAATACATAGATAGATAGATACATAGATACATAAATAGATACATAGATAGATACATACATAGATAGATACATAGATGCATAGATGCATGGATAGATAAGGGAGCACATACTAATATTCCAACATTCTAGAAGTAGAGGCAAGAGGTGGAGGCAGAGTGCAGAGGCAGATGAGCAGTAGTTTCAGGCTAATCTGGACTGTAGTGAGACTGTGTCTAAAAAAAAAAAATCAATACTTAAGTCAGTTTTGGTGACTCATGCTTATAATTCAACACTTATTTCAATAAAGTTTTCAAATAGCCCAATAGTATATGGTCATTACTTTATTTTGAATATTAATATACTTTATTACATAGGCAATTACCTTTGCTGGATAAAAGTTTGAGTAACTAGAAGTCTTAAATCACAGCTTCTAATAGATGGCTCATAGTGAACACCTAGTGAGTATTGTGTTTTCGAACAGCAAATGGGAACATTTGCACAAATATATGTGTAATTTGAGGTTTGTTTCAGCATTATTAGAATAGCAAAAGTTGGAAAAATAACAGCGATTAAAGTGGAACTAGTGGTTTAGTCAGCAACAAGTCGTGCGTACGATAGTGTTTTCACAACATTAAAAAGAAACTCCAAAAATGCTATTGACTATCATTTCTGCTGTACCTTTTCTATGTCTGGATATATAGATGCCCTATATACAGTTCCTGCTGTATCAGTGCAGCAGCGTTCCCTGAAGATGTGCAGCCTAGGAGTGACAATCAGTGCTACACAGCCTGTGCATACAGAGGCTGAACCATGGAGGTTGGGGAAGCACACTGTGGTGTCTTCTTGATGACAAAATCAGAATGTGTCCCTTTTGATACACTCAGGACTATATGTCCAAAAATATATTTCATGTTTTAGACATAATTATATAATAAGACTGAAGGGGTATTGAGTTAATAACGGACATGAAGATGACCACATATAAATGAGGTCGTGACATTTAGCAAATGAAAATAAAGGTTGATTAGTTATTTATGAACTTCAGGTGAGTAACACAATCTAAGTGTGATTTTATCATCATTAACACTTCATTTGAGATGCAGTGAGAGCCAAGAGTTACTGTTTATTGTCTGAAAGTCAAATAGAACCAACTGTACTTTACGCTGTAACCACCATAGGAAGTTGAAGAAAAAAAAATAAGCAGAAAACAGTCCAACCTCAACTTCAGTACAGACTAAAACTTCCATGTGCTGAATAAAATATTATATGACCTTGTATTTTAAGTGAATATATTTGATATTTGAGAGTTTTATTCTCTCTCTGGTTCTAAGCTCTTTATGATGTATCTGTCCTACAACACTTTTCTTTTGACGAATTGTAGATGGAAATTTTATACATTGGAAGTAGCTGCCAGTTTTTGTTTGGATGAGACAATGTTATTCTATAAAGAATAACATCTTTAGAAGATTCACTACAAAAATTTTCCAGATAGGGTCCATTGTGGGCTCAGACAACCTTTGGTATAACAATATTCTGGCCCCTGACTTTCCCAGCTGTGGAACAATGCAAGCTATTTCTGGTGCCATTGGTTGCCTTAATAACAATCTAGACTTTAAGACCCTGTGGGATTTGATATTCTAATTTTTTATTTTATCAGGTTTGTTTTCCTGGTCATTAGACCTTGGTAGAACTTGAGTCAGGAGTTCTGACTTTGTATTCTGGAACGTCTGTAAAAGCACAGGAACAGCATGTTCTCTGAAGTCTGATAGAGTTCTCCCCTTACACACATCCAAAACAGTTTTCCATTTTAATTGCAATCCTGAGAACTTCTTAGTGTTTCCCCATGTGAAGTTCAGGTCTTCTACTGATTTGCAAATGAATCTTGATAGTTTGGGATTTTCTGTTATTTTCATAATATGACCTTTTAGAGCCAGAGTATTTATCATATTCTTCTTAATAACGTGTATTTTCTACTGCAGTCATTTCTACGTATGACTTAGATTGTGAACACACTAACATTGACTTACAGTTCACTTAGTTTTACAGACTTACCAGTGAACTAACTCAAGTTGTGCTTTATATTCTGCCACGTAAGTAGGGATGCTGCAAGCTAGTGCAGATGCCTGGCAGGCATGTCTTGAGCTCAGCCAATCACCAAGTTTGGGTCCTGGGTCAAGTTGGTTGTTCTTGTTCTGCCTCAGTTTCTCTTTCTGGAAATAAAACAATGACAACAAGATCTCTGCACATGACTCTTGAGACTAGAGAAGTTTTGCCAAGTGCTGAGTAGCAGTGAACCTGCACTAACCTAGTGGTAGAGGAATGCATTTTGTTGTCGTTCTTGTTTTACTTAATAAACTTTTTGTTTTCCTTGAGCGTAAATAAGAGTTTGAGTAGCTAATTCCTGGGTATAAACCTTCATGTAGCCAGAAGTTTTCCTGTGTCCCACTTGTCCTGCAGCCGCTCAGAGAAATAAACACACAGAGGCTTATGTTACTTACAAACTGTATGGCCTAATGGCTCAGGCGTCTCGCTAGCTAGCTCTTATATCTTAAGTTAACCCATTTCTATTAATCTGTTTTCCCATGTGTTCCGTGGCTTTACTGGTCTGTTGGCATCTTGCTCCTTGGGCGACAGGCTGGTGTCTTCCCACTTCTGCCTTTCTCTTTCTGTCTCTCCCTTTAGATTTCCCACCTGCCTCTAAGCTTGCCATAGGCCAAAACAGCTTATTTTTTAGCCAATGGTAGCAACACATATTCACAGCATACAGAAAGATATCCCACTGCACCTTAATTCTTAAAATTCTACACATACAGCTCTTCTGGCATTTCCTTTCAGTAATGTTGAATGTCAAGCTGAACTTTTGTTTCTCCATTTCTGATTTCTTCTTGTCTATCTCCCACTGTAATTTTATAGCTCTGGGAGTAATATTATATATTATCTCTCTGTTTCTATTTTCTCAGCTATAAATCAGTTTCTGCATCTGTAAACACCAATACTTGTGCTACCCATTGTGGATCTGTTATCTTCTCCTCACTGGCTTTGATTTGCTGGGCCCTAGGGTCTATTGGTCTTAAGACTGTCTTGTGTGTTAGTTACCTTTCTGCGTTCTAAGAGATTCTCCGGAGCTTGTGTGTCGTTTGTCTTATGTGGTCTCCTTGCTTCTGTACCCAGTGGGCTATGCTCTGTTCATTTGTAATTGTACTATCAAATTCATATTGTTATTTTTATTATGCTTTCCCTGTGAAATGTTCTCTTAACTTTGAGATGGATAGTCTTATAAATTCAGATCTTGAATTTGGGTGTGAGTTTGAAACTACTAGGTTACAAAGTTGCAGAAATCGGAATAACAGGAGCTACTCCCTTACTAAGCTTATCTGATAGGAAAAAAAGGCAATCATTTCAATGATATCATGAGTTTGTTACTAGAGATGTTCAGTGAACCACAGGGGCTGGGGGTGCATGTGTTGGCAGGAGCCACAATGGATGAACTGTAAACTGATGACTTTGGAGTCTCGATTTCCCAGGTATATTCGAATATAAAGGAACAAAAGTATTGTCCTTGTTCTTCAAATAGCAACTCAGTCCTTTAAGGTAGGAAGTCACATTTTAAAAGGCAGTGTGCCAGGATATCTTGAGCATTCTTGATTGAACAGAACTTTCTCATTCGGTGTGCTTTTGTTCTTCAATGTTAGATGGTGGCCACTATTTGTTCATTGCAACACAGACAACTCAAAGTAATCTTATTTCCGTTACAAACCTATTTTTGAAATATTTATTACTTTATTTGTTCATCAAAGAAATAAAGAATTCTTGGGGTAGATGTAAAATTGTGACTTATTTTAATTCATGATGTTAACTATTGTAGCTAACTTAAATGATAAATGTTACCATTTGGGACTCTAAGGAATCATTAAATGGAAAGTATTTTAATGCTTATTTCTTTTCTTTGTCAGTGATTACTCATGCCTTTTAGATGGAAGTGGGTATATTTGAAATATAATTTTGATATCATTTTCTCTTCAGTTCTTCATATTTCCATCTTTGTTATTGTTAATGATTATTAATGAAAAGCATATAGAATGTATATATTATATGTAATCCAGGAAGTCATCTATTTAATACATATTTTAATACTTAGATTTTTTTCCTCCAGATAACAATGGAAGGACAAAATCAAGCTTTCAGTATCAAAACCCGCACCCTTCTGTATGAACTCCTTTGTGCTCTCATTAACCCCAAACGCAAGGACACTCGGGGATTCAGCCACTTTGTGGAGGTGACAGAGCATTTTGCCTTTTCTCTGCTGACTGATGTTACCTGTGGGTCTCCTGGTGAAAAGTAAGTCCTTTGTAAAACTGTCAGTTCCCAAAATGTATTTCCTCATGGCTTCCAAAGCAGTGCTTGATACCAGCTGACCCTGAGATGGTACACAGAGTCAGTACTTCTCACCACAGCAGTGTATGGTACACAGAACGTGTGGTCAGTACTTCTCACCAAAGCAGTGTATGGTGTCAGCCGACCCTGAGATGATACACAGAGCGTGTGGTCAGTACTTCTGACCACAGCAGTGTATGGTACACAGAGCGTGTGGTCAGTACTTCTGACCACAGCAGTGTATGGTACACAGAACGTGTGTGTGGTCAGTACTTCTCACCACAGCAGTGTATGGTGCACAGAGCATGTGGTCAGTACTTCTGACCACAGCAGTGTATGGTGCACAGAGTGTGTGGTCAGTACTTCTGACCACAGCAGTGTATGGTACACAGAGTGTGTGTGGTCAGTACTTCTCACCACAGCAGTGTATGGTGCACAGAGTGTGTGGTCAGTACTTCTGACCACAGCAGTGTGTGGTGCACAGAGCGTGTGGTCAGTACTTCTCATCACAGCAGTGTATGGTACACAGAACGTGTGGTCAGTACTTCTCACCAAAGCAGTGTATGGTGTCAGCCGACCCTGAGATGATACACAGAGCGTGTGGTCAGTACTTCTGACCACAGCAGTGTATGGTACACAGAGCATGTGGTCAGTACTTCTGACCACAGCAGTGTATGGTACACAGAACGTGTGTGTGGTCAGTACTTCTCACCACAGCAGTGTATGGTGCACAGAGCATGTGGTCAGTACTTCTGACCACAGCAGTGTATGGTGCACAGAGTGTGTGGTCAGTACTTCTGACCACAGCAGTGTATGGTACACAGAGTGTGTGTGGTCAGTACTTCTGACCACAGCAGTGTATGGTGCACAGAGTGTGTGGTCAGTACTTCTGACCACAGCAGTGTGTGGTGCACAGAGCGTGTGGTCAGTACTTCTCACCACAGCAGTGTATGGTGCACAGAGCGTGTGGTCAGTACTTCCCATCTGTTGCCAATGGAAGAGACTGTTGGAGGGAAGCAGCAGGTCCAGCAAGAGAAGTGACTGTGTGCCACCAACACTATGGGGCCGTTGTTTCAAACTGTCTTTAGAGTAAAACACAACATCATCTTGTCTTCTCTTGCTTTTATTCTGTCAGTGGAAAGCATATTCTGAGGAGGAAGGATGCTGATTCCCAGCCTCCTGCTGTGACTTCTGCTGCCCCAAAGCCCCAGATGTTTCTTCCACTGGGAGGCAACTCTCAAACTTTAGGATTTCTTTTTTGTGACTGGAATTCCACAGCAGGAAGCTAGCAAGAGGAGGAGAAAATAACCTGGTCATTATTAACTGCATAATTAATTATGTAGCCATGTGTTAATATTTTGTGCATAATGATACAAGAAATTACATTCACATTTAAATTGTGTTATTGTAGTTCAAAAACCACAAAATGTTTTATTTGTATTTGAGAGCCAAAATCCACTGATATTAGAACATGGGCAGAAGTTAAAATCCATCCTGATTTTCATGTTGTTCATATATGCTACCTAAAAACAACAAGTATCATTTTATTACTATTTAATGAATATTTGGTTAAGAATATTTATATAAACTTTATTTAATCATTTATTTTCAATGAAAGTCATCATCCATATTTAGTAAATCATGATATATGGGTCATTTCAATAATGAATCTGTCAAACTAACAAATCAGTTGATTAAATCAAACTTTGAATATTAGTTCTTTGGTTGCAGACACATGAAGTTCAAAAATAGTAAATTACATATAAAAGACAAGGTGTAAAATACAGAGAACATTAATGATATTAATTATATCCTTGCTATATCCAGACTGCATTAAATTGAATAGTATGGATGGATATTTTATAGGTAGAAACAGTGTGAATCTGAAAATTTTATAAGGTTCAGCATAACCCTTCATGCAAGTTGATATATATAGTATATTACTATATATATTACAAATCATCATTTTAGGTAAGCTATTGGAAGTTGGATTAGGGCTTTTATTATTTGTATTTATAGATTCAGAAACTGAGGTTTAGGGTCCTGCTTACCTTGACAAGGTTCACACGAATAGTTCATGGAGAGTCTCATGCGCACTCATAGGCCTGCTTAATTCCATAGCCCCTTCCAGGCACCATGCTGTGTGGTCAGAAGACTGCATTAAAAGCAACCTTACAGCCCGAATTTTCCTTACAGATCCATTCCAGGGTGTGGTGAATGTAGCTGGAAGTTTTCTCTGGTCCTGCCCAGCTCCATGGACCCCCCCAGCCACTTATAAAATAATCACTCAGAAGCTTATAGTAATTAAAACTGCTTGGCCATTAGGTCAGGCCTACCACTGACTAGCTCTTACATTTAAACTCAGCCCATTTCTGTTAATCTATATGTTGCCACGTGTTCTGTGGCTTTACCTGTGTGCCATTACATGCTGCTCCCTGGATGATGGCTGGCGTCTCCTCTCAGCCTTCCACTTCCCAGAATTCTCCTTGTCTGTCTATCCCGCCTATACTTCCTGCCTGGCTACTGGCCAATCAGCATTTTATTTATCAACCAATCAAAGCAACACATTCACAGCGTACAGAACATCCCATAGCAGGTGAAGTTAGGAAACATTTTACATCTGCTTACACTGCTGTGAGTACTGATGGGTCCAGGGGACTGATATTTTCTTTTTTTTTTTTTTTTTTTTTTTTTTTTTTTGGTTTTTCGAGACAGGGTTTCTCTGTGTAGCTTTGCGCCTCTCCTGGAACTCACTTGGTAGCCCAGGCTGGCCTCAAACTCACAGAGATTCGCCTGGCTCTGCCTCCTGAGTGCTGGGATTAAAGGCGTACGCCACCACCGCCCGGCGAACTGATATTTTCTTAATGGGAAAATCAGCAAAGAATCAGAAACACCTCACAGAGCCTCTTTCAGGATATGCTCTCACTAGTCCTTACCACCTGTGATTAATGCTGTGCTCTTCAACCCTAGTGCCATTTATGTGTCTCTCATCCTGGCTACAGAAACCCCTGACACAGATTAATTGCTTGCATTGAGACCACAGAATGTATTTGGAATTTAAAGGAACCTAGAAGCGTGGCACAGTTAAGGCCATTAGACAGACGTCCATAATAGTCATAAATTGCAGGTGGAAGAGAAGCGGCCGTCACATCTGGTTTGCTTTGCTGAAGACTCTAAGTATGTCAAGCATTTTGCTTGCATTCTCATTTTGCTTGCACCACCGTAATATCAAGTGTGTCTGCTGAGAGGGGAGGATTTGGGAATTGAGCAAGAATATTAGTGATGGGATCTAGAGCAACCACTTGGAAACCAACTAAAAACAATGCAATTAGCACTGAGGATGTAAAGGGGTGCCAATTAACATGTAGCCCCCCACTTTAGTCCAGGTATGTAGCAGATGATGGTATTAACAAAGTGAGTACATTTGGAGGGCAAATATGTGATAAATAGGTTAAGGTGTTGTGGTGTGGGGGGAGTTTGGTTATTGGCAATTAAGAGGGGTCAGAAATTTGAGGTGCTTGTGGGAGTAAGACATTATGTGTGTTGCTGGCTTACAAAGTGCAGGACCTACGAGGTCTCTGACTAGACTGAATGTCTTGGAAGTGGGTTATGAAAGCGTTAGTCAGCTGTGTGGCACAAGTTCTCTGGTTTCTGTGGCTTTGTGCCTAGCAAAGGGCTCTGTGGCTGAGCTATAACAGTGTTTCATATGGGGGGGCTGAGTGAAGAGAATAAAAAGGGGATTTTGATAAGCTATTGTTGACATATAGGGGGCCCATACAAATTGAGGTCTTCACATAGGAGGCCAGAGACCAAGCTATGGGGGATCAGCCCCCACATTTATTTACCCCAGGGACCCTTGAGGAATGAGGAATAGGAGACTTAGTTAGAAATAGAGAGAGGAGAGAAAACACAAGATAGACTTGGGTGGATCTGGACCCTTATCCACCAGCCCAGAACTTTATTCCCAAGGTCTATTTATAACAATGCCAAGGGGTGGAACAAAAGACCTCCCCCTTGCTAGTTACTGTCACCTGGTACCCAGGCTCGTGGTCCAATCAACCTCTTATGCCGTCCTGCTGGGTACGGCCACTAGGAAACCTAGTGGGCTCCAACAGGTCCCTCTTCTTTATATTTTAAAAGAAAAAAACTCTTGATGTAACTGCATCAAACTTAACATAATAATTCTAACATAAACAGAACTATACAAAATTATATTTCCTACTCTCAACCTTCCTATGAACCTACTCTCAAGCTACAAACCTACATTCAAGAACAATTTCTTAATAGAACTATACAAAACATAATATTATTTCACTCAAGTAACACGAAAATATTTTTTAAATTAAATAAACTGAGGAATATTAACTCTCCCTTTTCCTTATATTTTAAAATAAATCTCAAGCCTAGTTAGAAAACCTAAATTTCTCTATAAGCAGTTCCATTTTACATAAACAGTTCTTAGGTCATCACTGTTGATAGAGTCTATATGCATAAGCAAATTCAAACTTGTTCCATTGCAATGAAATCATTACTGTCCATTTCATTTCTTAAGTTCAAAAGTTCAGCAAGAGTTCTGGTGCCATTCCTAAAAGTTCCTCTGAGCGTTCATCATCACGGCCTGGCTTGTCAGCTGCCCTTAAGTCTGTGTACAGCTGTCAGAGTCGGAATGACTCTGAAGCAAACAGTTCCAAATACGCAAAGTCCCATAACCAGAACTTTTTGCAGTTCAATCAAGTCTCTTTGAAATGTTTGCTTTGAGCTACCGCTGAGCTTTGCAGTCTGTCGACCTCCGCAACCAGACCGCTCCTGGGCCAGGCTAGGGAGCTTCACTGCATAGCCACACTGGCTCAAGGCTTCTTCAGCTGCCATGAGCTGGAACTGGCCTTCCCACGGCAACCCTGCCTTTGGGAGGAAAACCCATTACCTGCATTGCTGATGGCCCAAGTGCTCAGCAAACCAGGTCCCGGAATCCTCTGTTCGCTGTCCTGGTGTATGATGAATGTAGCTCAGGGCAGCTCCATGATTGCTGTCACATCCTGTTGCTCAGAGCTCGGGCTGCAGTCAGTCCCAGCAGTTCCCGCAGAGCCTCAAGCTGGCTGTTCAGCCTGGAGTAGGTTCTCAGGTCCACAACTTCCTGCTTTCCAGCTCATCTCAGCTGCTTGTCCGGCACTGACACCATTCTGCTCTAGGCCTCCGGAAGGAAGCAGTCTGGTCTCTGCTGTCTCCACTGTTCACCTCTGCTCTGCTCGCTGGTCATCTTTCCTGCAGCAGTGTGGCATCTCTGCAGGGCTTTCCAGACTGCGGCTTGTCCTTCGCCCCTCTCATGGCTTAGCCTCAGGGCCGAAAGCCTGCGCACCCTCGCCGCTAGTGCTGCCTCTGCCTTCGCTCTTGGCGTCTGCTGTGTGGGAAGCTATGACCCTCCATGGGTCTCAGTAGTAGACAGTACTGTCTGTTGACTTCTTGAAGTTAGCAGTTTCTGGAGCTGCTTCTTGCCATTATTGGCAGTTTCTGGAAGTGCCAAGTCTGCTGTGGATATTGTTTTCCCAGGTTGGGAAAACCTACTCTTCATATCCTTAGACCTAAAGCCTATATATTCTAAATCTACATTTTTCTGACTAAATTTTAAACCTAAATTCTATAGGACTACTTTATAAACCTTACCCAAGTCTTATTCAAGCCTACATAATAAACTTACATTCTATAGGGCTACTCTAGTACTTTTTCAGATATCTAACTTAGCAAACACCTAAAAGAGATGTATTACTTCTTACTCTTAACTAACTTACACTAGGAAGAATCTCTTAGCAAACTCTCTATAGGGCTCCCCTAAACCTATATTTATAAACCTTACCTGTAAGTCTCACTTAAGCCTAAACCTTACCTAAGTCTTAGTTACATTCTATAGCTCTACTTTATAAACCTTAACATCTAGAAGAGATCTCTTAACTATTATCACTTTACATATAACAGAACTAACTTAACACTAAAGCAAACATCTATAAGATATTTCTTTTAACATTTAGAAAAGATTTTTTTCACTAAATTATGAACAAGACCAGAAGTATGCAAATCATTTCCCAAAGTTCAGAGTTTATAGTAGTCATTCTGAAAGTTCTTGAGAGTTTGAAACAAGATTTGTCAGTGGCTCTTTCAACCTTGGGATTTTAGTGAGTACTGTCACTACTGGGTTGTAACACTTGTTGCTAGAGAACTGTAACATTTTTGGAACAAATGCTACTCCCCCAAATCACCTTTGCCAAGCTCTCTCAGCTGTTCTGGAACCAGCAGAAATACTCAGCTGTGAACAGTTTCTAACTAGAGGCTGTCTCTTTACCCAAATCCAGAACAGCTTCCCTGTGCCATAATTCAGACAAACGCTTCTGTTACAGCAGAACTTTCAGTTTGTTCTACCGAAAAGCTTCACTTCAGACTGAGGGTGAAATTATTGTGTTGAACTGCCACAAAGCTCTTAGCAAAAATTCCTTGTGCGACCATATAAAGCACTGTTTCAAACCTGCATTGATACTACATTTCCCTGAAAGCCTTCCGGGTATGCTAGCGCGCTTGCCGGTTCCCTTCACAGGGTTTCACTTCTGTAACGGGAGATTTTTCTTTCTTGAGCTTGCTTTAGGATGCCCGTGCCACCGTTGAACAGGTAGATCTAAGTAGATCTTTCACCCGACCCAGTTCCCCAGCTTTTCCTCCGTTTGTCTCCACACTCAGGCTGCGGCTTATTGCCTGAGAAAAAACCCTTAGGGCTTCACTCCCGGTCAGTGAGGCAAACTGAAAACATTTGTTTCAGAAAGGTCCTTTCTCTGATGGAAAATAGAGCTGCTCTCCTGGATAGCTCCCCGTCCTATCCCATCCCACCTCCTTCCCCAGATAGTGTCCCTGGTGCTCAGCACAGCTGCTCATGCAGCCACAGCCCGGCTTCTCTGCCTCATCAGGCTCTTGCCTCAGGATTTTCCCATCCAGGTGAAACTCAGTTTTAAACTGAGAAAGTTCTGAAAGCCTTTTTAGCTTATTTTTTTTCAAGAGAGAGAAAGACCAGCACGTTTTTTAAGAGAGCTTTTAGTTTAAGAGAGAAAGATTAAGTTTTTCCTAAGATGTCTGTTCTCTAAACTTTTTGGCTTCATGGCCAGGAGGGAACTAATTCTGAGGGTAAGATGTTCTACTGCTGACAAAGCAGAGGATTTTTGTTTCTGTCCGCACCCACTGCAGGGGAAATCTCTTTCCTCTGCTGTTTTTTTCTTTTTGTTGTTGTTGTTGTTTGTTTGTTTGTTTGTTTTTACATTTTAGCTGTCCCCAGGCCAAAATCTTCCGTAGGAATCCCCTTTCTGCCTGATACGCTCAAAGAAGAGCTTTTCTCTGCCCGTTAAGTTCAAACAAGATAGATTTTCCCCTAGGATTTTGCGTTCATAACCCCATAGTTAGGTTTATCTTATCCTTCTTTACCCTAAGCTTTTAATTTTCTATATTCCTAATTAACTCTGAAGGTCTGTCTTCCTGCACTGTATTACCCATTCTACCTTCCTTAGTTTTTATAGAGAGAAGAAGGAGAGGGAGAGGGGGAGGGGGAGGGGGAGGGGGAGGGGAGGGGGAGGGGGAGGGGGAGAGGGAGAGAGAGATACCTGTATAGAGAGAAAGCTAATGCTGCAGCCTGTGGTATATCCTTTACCACCTAACCTATACACCCGAGAATAAAATACCGTTGCCTTCATTTTTCAATTCCTTATTGGAATACCTACACTCATAACATCCCCTTCAATCCTTTCACCAAGCTCTAGGGTTATTTTTTTTCTTTATCTTTTCCTTTGTCTCTGTTCAGGCGCCATCTGTGGAGGACCAGCCCCCACATTTATTTACCCCAGAAACTTTTGAGGAATGAGGGATAAGAGACTTAGAAATAGAGAGAGGAGAGAAAACACAGGATAGACTTGTGTGGGTCTGGATCCTTATCCACCAGCCCAGAACTTTATTCCAAAGGTCAAAGGTCTGTTTATAACAATGCCAAGGGGCGGAGCAAAAGACCTCCCCCTTGCTAGTTACAGTCACCTGGTACCCAGGCCCATGGTCCTATCAACCTCTTATGCCGTCCTGCTGGGTACGGCCACTAGGAAACCTAGTAGGCTCCAACACCTAGCATCCTGGATATGATAAAATATCAAAGCCACTGACCACTGCATTTATTTAGTTAGTTATTTTCATTACATTATAAAATTATTTTTAAATTTTTTCATATAGTATATTTTGATCATATTCTTTTTCCTCCCCAAAGTCCTTCTAGATCTTTCCTACCTCCCTACCCACCCAACCTCATGTTCTTTTTTCTCTCTCAAAAAGACCCACCTCCTCAACCAAACCAAAACACAATCAGAAAAGACAAAAAACAAAATCACAAAAATCATGGCATCTATTTATTATTGGTCAGCTACTGCTAAGCATAAGGCCTGCCCTGGAGTGTAGTTGATACAATTGACACTGAACACTTTAAATGCTATCATTTAAGCCTTGGAAGAAACTTCTTGTAAACATGACATACAGCTAGAAGAAAAGGTTCCCTTTGACTCTTTCATTTCTCACATCTTTCATTTAACATTATCAGATTCATTTCTCACATTACAGGTCTTAGCAAGGTATCTTTTTTTGATACACTAACTATATACTCTGTGTACACTGTGGCCGGTAGAACCTTTAAGATTGGACAGATACATTTCTGTCCTAATACAGTGTCAGATACAGTATCCTAATAACCTCTACACTGTTCGAAGCAGGGTTTGTATTTCCTCTACCTTGGTATCTGCTCCCTATGGCAAAGATGATGATGCCAGAGACAACTCACTGAAGCTTTAGGGGAAATGGTTACGTATTCACATTCCTTGAACCGTAAATCCGCTCCCCATGTAAGGATCTGCCTTAGTGAGGCTGGAGTGCCACCTGTACTTTAAACCAAGTCCACATGAGTTCAACTCACATTGAGGTTTGAAAGCAATTTAGCTGAGTGTAGAATCTTATTATTCCTAAGAGGTGTGAAAAAATAAAAATGTCAGAAGCATCAAGACCATTACTCAGATCTGTTTTCTCGTAAGCTGGATTATTGTATTAGAAGGCTCTGATGTACTGGAAAGGCATGAGGGACATCTGAGACGGAAATGCAGCTGTAGATGCATGTGCTCTATGGTTTTAAATTTAAAAAAGGTCCCACTCTAGTGGGAATACCCTTTCCTCAGCCTGTCCTATCACAGCCTGTGACTAACACAGAAAAGTACATTCTAAGCCACAGACTGCATTATGATAACTGTGTAACAGCTTCCAGATACTCCTGTTTTAGGTTACAAGAGAGACCAAGCAAAGGGGTGTGGAACGATGTACTCATCACTAGGAAACAGAAGGCGGATGGTTATTTAGTGTTGGGATTGTTCTACATGAAGAAAAATCCTCCACTTAAATATTGAAGCAAATACAATTGGATATGTTGATACAAACACCTGCCAACTCAACACAGGCTTGTTTTCTTCCTATAGAAGCAAAACCATCCTTGACAGCTGCCCATACTTGTCGATCCTGGCCCTTTCCTGGTACCCTCAGCAAATCAATGGACACACGTTCGAAGGAAAGGATGGTGATTACATTCAAATTCCAGAGAGGTTATTGGATGTTCCGGATGCAGAATTGTTGGATGGGAAAAGAGCATGCACATTGGTCCAGTTTGTGGAGTACAGCAGCCAGCAGTGGTTCCTGGCAGGAAACAATCTTCCTGCCCTGAAGGACAAGGTAATCTCTCATTTAAAATTATGTGATAGTTTATCTTTTCCCTTTACCAGGCAAACTCAGAACACATCAGCTTAGCTGTTCTTTCAGGTGCTACCCATGAGTAGCAGGAAAATTACTCTCTCTGTAAGCCGTTTGTAGTTTTTTTGGGCTTCAAATGTAGTTGGAAACGTTTCCCTTATGTTTTGTGGAGTATGTATGTGCGTATATGGACAAAGTGTAACACTATAGCTTTCCCTGCTGTGATGCCTCGGCATGTACCTACCTTCTCAGGAGGCCAGCCAGGGATACTTAGAGTGGGTGTTGTCAGCTAAAGACTGAAAGTGAGTGCGGTGGGGTTAGGCTGTGACAGTGGAAAACCAGTCAGAGTTGCATTCAGTAAGAGAGCAGCTAATGGTGCTGAAGAAAACACTAGAGGTATTAGGTATTAGAAAAACAAAGTCCAGCTCTGACTGGGAGACTCAGTCATATCACTCATTGGAAAATTACCGTTAAATGTTGTGTTTCTTTTTGACATTATAGGTGTTGTCCCTGAGTGTGAAAGGTCAGAGTGCACAACCCTTGCCTAACAACAATGAGGTTCTCTACAGGATTTATGCAGCTGAGCCTAGAATTGTTCCCCATACATCTCTCTGTCTCTTCTGGAATCAGGCCGCGGCCAGGTACAAACTGATAAATCTTAAGAAAAGTGTTTGGTGCTTCCCAGCCAGAAACATTGCACCTGCTTGTTTTAAACATAGATGGTATTTATGATATATGACTCAAAATACAAAAAAAGAAAAGCTGTGGAGGAAATCATAGGAAAGCATATGCATTAGTTACTGGTCTATTGATGTGATGAAACACCATCATCAAGGCAACTTATAAAAGAAAACATTTAATTTGGGGCCTGCTTACAGTTTCAGAGGGTTAGAATCCCTGGTTGTCATGCCAGGGAGCATGGCAGGAGGCAGGCAGGCATGGTGCTGGAGCAGTAGCTGGGAACTTACATCTTATTTGTAAGATGTAGGCAGAGAGAGAGAGTGAGACTGGGCCTGGTATGGGTTTTTTAAACGTCCAAGCCCACTCAGGGTGACACACCTCTTCCAACTAGGCCACACCTCTTGCAACAAGGGCACACCCCCTAATCCTTCTCAAAAAGTTCCACCAATTCCAAGCATTCAAATATATGAGCCTATGGGGACCACTCTTATTCAAACGACCATAGCATAACAAGTAATTTGTCTGGTGTTGTGCAAACTACAAGACTTTTGAAAGCAAGAGGAGAGGTTAGCCCTACACACAGTGGCGATTGTATTGGCTGATTTTATGTCAATTTGACACAAGCTACAGTCATCAGAGAGGAAGCAGCCTTTGTTGAAAAAAAAAATGCCTCCGTGAGATCCAGCTATAAGACATTTTCTTAATTAGTGATCAGCACGAGAGGGCCCAGTCTGTTGTGGGTGGTGCCATCCCTAGGCTGGTGGTCCTGGGTTCTATAAGAAAGCAGTATGAACAAGCTATGGGGAGTGAGCCAGTAAGCAACTCCTCTCCATGGTCTCTGCATCAGTTCCTGCCTCCAGGTTCCTGCCCCCTTTGAGTTCCTGTCCTGGCTTCCTTTGTTAATGAACAGCAACATGGAAGTATAAGATGAATAAACCCTTACCTCCTTAATTTGCTTTTTAGTCATGGTGTTTCATTGTAGCAATAGAAGCCCTGACTAAGACAGCCATGCTGTCGTGTGGGGATCCACACAAGCCGTGACTATGATGGTCTGTTGGGATCCACACAAGCCATGACTGTGATGGTCTTTTGGGATCCACACATGTCATAGCTATGTTGACCAGTGGAAATTTTTGAATGACAGAAAAGACCAAATTTGCTTTAGGATAGGTAAGGCACCATTGCTGAGAAGGCTAACTTCTTTGGTACAACAAATGCTCTGGCAGGTGTGGTTGGTATTTACACTGCTTCTTAAGGTGTCTTGACGGAAACTGTTGGGTCATGTCCTGGACAAGATATTCCTTCTAGTGTTTCTTCTGGAAAATGTAGTCTGCTTAAGTCTTGAGTAAAGAACACTTAATTTCAGCTAGTTATTTTTCCTTTAAAAACAACCTGAACACATTATTGCAAGAACAGTGACTATTGTGTTTTGTTCTAGCTGGTTGTCTGACAGCCAGTTTTGCAAAGTGGTTGAAGATACTTCGGACTACGTGGGATGTGCCTGTTCACACTTGTCTATGTATGCTGTTTACGCCCAGACTGACAACTTGTCATCATACAATGAAGCTTTTTTCTCTTCTGGGTTTATATGCATTTCAGGTCAGTGGCAGGGTTTTCAAGTTATGAATTTTAAATATTTGTGAGAATGAAACTTTCCCATAGTTCTTTTGTGTGTGTAAGATATGAGCATGCTATGATTCATCATTTGCCCATCTTAATCATTAATACATACAGCAGGTATTTATGGAGGCTCAACTCTGAACTTCTTTGCAGAAGAAGCCATGTTTTCATGAAGAGCATGGGATACAGCATGAGACAGAGGCTAGATAAGAGGAAAGGGAACCATTTGTGGTGTATTGCACTTTAGAGCAATAGGTTCTACAGTTAGAATATTGGGATCATATAAATCAATGCATATAAAGATTTTGTGTTTTCATTAAAATAAATATTCTATCCCATCAGTTGGTCAGTTGTCTACAACTTTGGCACTTTAAACATATCAAACCCAGCCGGGCGGCGGTGGCGCATGTCTTTAATCCCAGCACTCGGGAGGCAGAGTCAGGCGGATCTCTGTGACTTCGAGGCCAGCCTGGGCTACCAAGTGAGTTCCAGGAGAGGCGCAAAGCTACACAGAGAAACCCTGTCTCGAAAAACCAAAAAAAAAAAAAAAAAAACCATATCAAACCCTATGCTAAAAATTATTTTCTACTCAACATATTTATCCCCTTTTTTATTGCAGCAATAGGAACTTGGATTTTATCAATGTCTGTCTGTTTACATACACCATAACTAGGAATGATGTGCTATATAGATAACTCTGTGTGAGATATTAACTATAAATATAACCTTGTAACCAGACTGTCTTAGTTCAAGTCCTGATTCTGTCATCAGCTTTTGGGAACTAGAGTAATATTCTAGTTGTATGTGTCAGGATACTCAAAATTCCTACCCCCAATGTATGACTACAAATCATGTCTGCATCTCAGGCCAGTTAGTCTGCTTTAGTGGTGACTTGTTTGTTATTGGGAGGGATTGTCTCTCTAAATACGTATACCAACAATCTGCCTAGCAATCCTCATCCACTAGGAAATCTTTCTGGAGATGGAGTCAAGTAACTAATTATTATGCTTGGTTCTGATTGTTAAATATTCCCATTATAATTCAGTTTTACATAGTTACAATTTTTCCATAACGTATCTAAATTATGAGTCTTGGGTTCCATAGCAAAAGTTAAGAATCTCTTATTCTTAATAATATCTTTCATAAAAGATGGATGGCATTTCTTATCCAATAAATTCTTCTAGGTGAATATAATTTCAAAATCAGAGGGAGACTTGTTTTATTTCAATGGTGGTATATTTCATGAGCAAAGAAGTTTCATAGAATAATGGAATAAAAAGTTATCATATTGACTACCAAGTGAGTCCCAGGAAAGTCGCAAAGCTACACAGAGAAACCCTGTCTCGAAAAACCAAAAAAAAAAAAAAAAAAAAAGTTATCATATTGAAATAAAATTTGGATATTATTTTACAAACAAATTCAAATGCTGCTGTGACCCAGAGGAATCCTCTGCTTTACAAAAACATTGAACATCAAACTAGAGAGTTTTCAAACTTAAAGCATGGTGTCTCTGATTCCATGTAGAGGCAGAAGAATCGTAAGGTACATCCTAGGAGAGTTATTGGTCATTCTATATTTTCTATAACTTGATGCAGAAAACGTTACGCTGACCTGCATGGGTGCTTGAGAACTTAAATGTCATCATCCACATATAGCTGCTACATCCACATTTGTGCCTTTGACTTGGGACCAGTGTCAAGACTTTGAAATTATAATTTATTTTCTGTTTTATTCAAGATATTTTATAAGTAAGGACTCTAAACTCCTGTGTTTTTGCCTCAGTTTTTATTTCATGAGAGAACCAATGCCCATTCCTCTGATGGTCCTTCAGGAATTAGAAAAGATAACTTTTTGTTTCTTTCTTTCTTTTTTTTTTTTTTTTTTTTTTTGGTTTTTCGAGACAGGGTTTCTCTGTGTAGCTTTGCGCCTTTCCTGGAACTCACTTTGTAGACCAGGCTGGCCTCGAACTCACAGAGATCCTCCTGGCTCTGCCTCCCGAGTGCTGGGAACTTTTTGTTTCTTATATATATATATAGTGTGTACTTTGGGTCAGACCAATGGGATAGCTCTGACTTGATAACAGTTAACTAGTCCTTTTCACGAGTGTAATGATGTACATATTCATAGGAGCTGGCCTCTTTGTTAGTTCTGCTTCCAGTTCGAGAAGTGGGCGAAAGAGGATAAAGGCTGAGAAACCCTCAGTTCAGAGAGGTGAAAGGAGAGAGGGTTACCTGGAAGATCCTAGGTTTGCCAAATACCAGAAAACGAAACTGAGGCCACTCCTTAAAGTAAAAAGGATAAAAAAGAGAAAGGTAGTAAAAGAGGGCTGTGTGCATTCTCCCGCCCATGACAGGAATGAGTTGGAAGAAGTGTAAATTAAGATGGCTTCATCACATACCACAATCTAACCTAATTACTAATAAGATCAGCAAGGCTTGAGGTGTGTGCACACTATTTCCCAGAATATGACTACAAATCTTCGGGGCTTTTCTCTAGGATACCATCCCATCAAAGATGACTGTTGGGTTGGATTTTCCCCAACTTTGACTCTTAACACAATTTTATAGTCTTCTAACCGTAAAGACAACCTGTTACCTTCATCGTGTAGTTCCTTTCCGTGTTACCTTAAGTGAATGAAATTAAGTGAAAGTTATTTTGTTGCATCTGTAGTTCAGTTTCCTGTGGCAGAAGTGATTTGACACTGTTAGAGGTGGGCCTGTTCTCACATTGGAATCACTTCCTTCTTCTTACCACGAAGAAATCCTTTAACGTATTACCCAAACTAAAGTGTTCTTTACTAATTAGCTAGTTATCTTATCTACTTAAAAAGAGAATACTGTGTGTAAATGCCTATACAATGTCAATCTCATAATAAATAATAATTTGTAAGTGACTAATTGCAGGCCTTACAGGTTAAGAAAGTTAATAAAAATTATTTGAGGATGATCATCTTTTGTTCAACTTTTTATAAAATGGCAAACATTTTAAGTTATGCCTTTTTTTTTGCTCCCCTGCAAGCTGAAATGCTGATACATTTTTCAAAGTAATAATAGCTGGCCAACCCTGAAAAGATTTCTAGTAGTAACAAAAGTCATTATGAAGCACCTCCAAGCACACATAAGTCTGTGTATAAGGACAGGGTGGGGTGGCCAGAGAGACAGAGCCTCAATAATTAAGGAAGTAAATCTGAGCACAATTGCATTCAACTCAACATTATTTTTTAAAGTTATTTTTGAAACTTTTGGTCAACTTCCTTTAGAAACATCAGGCTCGGGTTTTCAGAAACCATTGTCCTGGGGGACCTATTATGATTGTGGAAGAGTGTATTTTCAAAATAATTCCATTCTATCAAATGATGTGTTATCCCTGAGGAAAAACATTTTAAATGCTTAGAACTTTAAAAAGAAGAGTTTGAAGGGATAAATGTAGATAACAAGAAGTCACTTAGCCCTAAAATACGTGTGCATAGCATAAAGATGTTGAGTTTATCTAGCAATATCTGCAAAGGAATTTTGTTTGGCAAGAATTGGGCTGCACATCACAGAAGGGCACTCTGAGTGTCTTCCCCAGACTTAGTGCCCAGGATGAACAATTGGGCACAGTAACAATGCCCCTGCAGCCCGACCTCTTCTTCTTTTTCTGCTCTGCTTTTCTCACACCGTGGGTGCCCTTTTGTCTTGTCCTGGTGTGGTCTCAGCTGCCTGTAGAGCCTTGAGCATCAAGCTGGCAGTGTCCAGGTAAGCCAAGGCAGACGCTATGCTAAAGCAATGGAAACTCTTGTAAAAGACACCTGGAATGCTGCCCCAACACCTCTTTGCCCCAAACCATGTTTGGTAAACTTTCATAAGCCAGTCACTTTCTGGCACATGAGACAGGCAAAGTTGGACATAATCACTGTGAGAGCAGCCAGTGTCCATCATGTTGAGTATTACTGGACACAGCACCACATGTACAGTACTTTCGATCCTGTTTCTTTTTTTAAATGATTTATTTTTTTTTTACATCCCAACAACAGTTTTACCTCTCTCCTCTCCTCTCCTCCAAGTCCTTCCCCCTGACTTCCTCTCTGCTCTCCCCAATCCACTCCTCCTTCATTTCAATTCAGAAGGGGCAGGGCCTCCCATGGATATCAACCAAAGATGGCACATCAAGTTGCAGTAAGACTAGGCACCTCCCCTTGTATTAAGGTTGGATGAGGCAACCCACTATGAGGAATTGCTGTGGGATGTCATTCTATATGCTGTGAATATGTGTTGCTCTGATTGGTTGATAAATAAAACACTGATTGACCAATAGCCAGGCAGGAAGTATAGGCAGGCAAGCAGATGAGGAGAATTCTGGGAAGAAGAAGGACAGAGTGAGGAGTCGCCAGCCAGACACAGAGAAAGCAAGATGACAAGGCAGAACTGAGAAAAGGTACCAAGCCATGTGGCTAAACATAAATAAGAATTATGGGTTAATTTAAGTGGAAGAGCTAGTCAGTAATAAGCCTGATCTAATGGCTGAGCAGTTATAATTAATATAAGCCTCTATGTGTTTACTTGGGGGACGAGAGTGGGAGAAATTTGTCCCAACTGTGGGCCAGGCAGGACAGAGAAAAACTTCCAACTACAAGGACTAGGTTCCCAAAAGCCAGCAAAGGAGTCATAGACAGCCCCTGCTCCCACTGTTAGGAGTCCTACAAGAAGATCCTGCTACACAATCATAACATATATACAGAGGACGTAGGTCAGACCCATGTGGGCTCCCTGATTGTCAGTTCAGTTTCTGTGTTTCCCTAGGAGCCCAAGTTAGTTGATTCTGGTTTTTTTTTTTTTTTTGTGCCATTGACCCCTCTGGCTCCTACAATCCTTCCTCCCCTTCTTCCACAGGATTCTTCCAGCTCTGACTAATGTTTGGCAGTGGGTCTCTGCATCTGTTTTTATCAGTTGCTGGATGAAGCCTCTCTGATGACAGTTAGGCTAGGTACCAATCTATGAGCATAGCAGAATATCATTAGGCATCATTGCATGAACTCTTTTTTTGTTGGTTGTGTTTGGTAATATCCTAGGTCTCTGGGCTATCAAGCCTCTGGGTCCTGGTGCTCAAAGTAGTATCAGGGTGGGCTCTCTCTTATGGCATGGGTCTCAGGTTGGACCAGTCATTGGTTGGCTACTCCCACAATTTCTACACCATCTTTACCCCAGCATATCTTGTAGGCAGGTCCTATTTCTTGTTAAAGAAATAAATAACACACAGTATATTTCAGACCAGATGTGGTTTTGTACAATGTGCCAACTTTGGACTTTCAAACCATATTATCTTAGTCACTTGGATACAAATTCTTCTGAAATACAGTGTATTCTTTCATCACTCAGGAAGAATTAACAGTTCTCTGCAGTATGGCTTTCTGTGATGGTGACAATATTTTATACTGTCTAATATGTGAGATACTGGCCATATCTGGCCATGCATCCTTGGAATATGACTGAAATATAGTTCTATTTAACTTGTGACAATTTACATTTAAACACCTTCCAATGGCTAGTAGCTGATGTGTTCAGGATCAATTCCTTAATTATCAAGACTCTTGACTCTGGCAACATCACCCATTCCCTAACACATGGAGTTATGTGCTCCAAGGTGATTCATGCTGCCATTTGTTCCTACTGGAAATCTTTTCAGTGTTGACTGCTTTTTCTTCCCACCCTTACTGTGTTAGTAGCAATAAGCCAAGCACATTGCATGGAGGGAAAACTTAAAGACGTATCAGTTCAGCTGTGGTTTGTAATCAAACAGTAGAAACCCTACAACCACAGGTAGCATGATGTAGAAAGACAAGAAGAAACAAAGAGCTCATACTCAACTTAGTCATGAAATAACAGTGAGCTGATTTCATGTGGATTTATCTGGAGGAAGCAGGTATAAATAGAGTGATAGACTGACACCTTAAAACACAAAATTCATAAAGAAAAATTTGTAGAAAATTTACTCTCATCTGTCTTGTGTGGGGCTAAGTTACAGTTACATGGGAACATTTCCCACCTGTAAAATACGCTGAAGAACAACAATGTCTCCCAACTCTGCCTACTCACATGCAAACATCACACATATTTATATTCACATAAATACTCCAATATTGTATGTATCCATACAATCTGTGGTCTGCTTCAGAGCTGTATCCTCACTACCACATGTCATTAGTGTTGTTATTCTGTGAAGAGAATCTTCCTTCTCTCTTTTAAATGTGTAAATAGTCATTTGTGTCAGTGGGTTAAACGAAGATTCTTTCTCCTCCAGTTCAATCTGTAATCTGTATAGGGCTAGGAAAAAAAGAATATTATCCAGACAGCAGATTGTTTCTCTAGAGAATTGCTAAGAAATAAAAATTTAAAGACTGTAGAGTGCATATTTAGGTAATATATGGAGTTGTTACGGTTTGTTTTACTTTATTTTAGAAATTCTATCATATATTCTATGTTTTGTGATTTGACTATTTATAGTAAGGAATTTGAGCTACAGAACTGCAATTAAAAATATTTCCTTGTAAACGTTAAGTATATATACTGAACATAGGCACTCATTTTCTAGACTGAGGAAAGGTTATTTTCCTAAATTTGGATATTAGTGTATAGTACTTTGGATACTTAAATTTGTATGTAGTGATTTAGAAACTTCATAACTAAAATATTTATTTCTTTAAATCTTAAGTATTCTATATCCTGTCCAAAGCCAGATGGCTTTGCCTAGTTTAGAGCACAACTTGCTTGAATTCTCACCAGAATTCTCCTTTCAGTGAATGAGCCAGTGCTCCAGTTGGCTTCTGACTGCTGTGGTAAAACATGGATCTAAAGCAATTTAGGGAGGAAAGTACTGATTTCACTCGCAGCTCAAGAGTCTGTCATGAAAGAAGTCAGGGCAGGAGCTCAAGGCGGGACCTGGAGGCAGGATCTGAAGCAGAGGCCATGGAAGAATACCGTTTACTGGCTTGCCTTCCCATTGCTCACTCAGCGTGCTTTTTCATGACCTGAGATCACCTGCTCAGGGGTGGTACTCCTCACAGCGTGCCCTCCCACATCAATCTCAGTCAAGAAAATGCCCCCACAAACTTGCTTCCAGTCCAAGCTGATGCAGACATTTTCTCACTTGAGGTTTCCTCTAGCGAGATGACTCTGACTTATGCCAAGTTGACATAAAACTATCCAGTGTGGCCTGATAACGATGACGCATTATGCTGAAACACTAGGACAATCCTGACCACTTCCTGCCTCTGCATTTGATCCCAGGGCATCAACCAGGGGCCATGGTAGCATTTTAATGAAGCTTTTCATACACAATCACGTTTCTAAGCTGGTCTCATGTAATCGTGCTGGGTTCCTGTGCTGGAACAGGAATATGATGCTGAATGGATTACCAAATTAGGGGGGAAATCACTGGATAAATTCTTTTGAACTACAGTGAGTAGGAAATGTGTGTGTTCCTCCTTTGGCCAGTCTTCAGCCTTTGCCTTGCACTGTTACCAGTCATTCCGGGAAACTTGCAGGAAATCCATATTTGTGATCATGTAGTTTATACTGAGAAGGAAATTGTGGTTAGGGCTTGCTTTTAGGTCAGTGTATTATACACACACATGAGCACACACCTCTAAGCATGAGTTCAAGCAACTTATGAATGTCGTAGAGACCCAAAGGACAAATTAATGAGTTGTCAGCACCAGTGCCAGTAGAGGAGAAGGTAAAGGTGCAGAAGCAGGCGCAACTGCCACATCTGTAGGAAACACCATCACCCGTGTAGGTGAGTTTGGAGGCAACCCCAACACCGACCGGCACACCTGAGGTGTGAGTGCCATGGCCCCTGTGCTAAGAGTGGGCTGCTCCAGACTTCCCTGCGGGGGGCGGGGGGTGGGGGGCAGGGGGGGGTTTCTAAACAAAAAGCCCATCCCCCCTTACAGGGAGCTCCTTCTACTCTATTGAAATATAAAACATAATTGAACTATTTTTCTAAAAAGAATTCTGAGAGGCATTTCTGAACAGAAAACCCGTGAGGAGACCCCATGGAGGCATTTTGTAGATGGTTAATGCTCTTACGCTGACATGCAGTTTACTCTGAAAGCTCACCGCACAGCTTCGGAAAATACAATGGAGAACGAAATGTTAAATCAGTGCAATGTCTCATGTTTGTCAAGAGGGCATTGGCATTAAATGAGGTAATATATGGAAAACACATGGCTAAGTGGTCTGTGCATGCCAGCATTTGTAATGCTTCAGTGACTCTTACACAAAACAATCCAGTCCACAAAGACGTGTGGTAAAAAGCTCAAGTGAACAAATAAATGGTCACTGTTTATTAGACTACTATCTGAAAAATTTAAGGCATAAAATATTCTTAAAGTATCCTGCCTTCAAGTTCTGGTTTAGTGATGCATGACATAATTCCAGCACTCAGGAGCCCGAGGCAGAGGGACTGCAATTTCAAGGCCAGCCTGGGCTATATAATGACAATTTATCTCAAAATAGATACGCAGGTTTAAAGATAATGCCACTTACAATGGAAATTTTTATACTTAATTTCTTTGTGGAAGAACGAAAAAAATATTCTGGTTTTGACATGCAGCAGCTGTGGGTTGGCTAAAAGTTCATCATTACCACTGCTGTTAGCTGAAAATGGGTAATTTGAGCATCAGTTTTGGAGGATCATTCACAGTTTCTTGCCCAAAAAGTTCTAGTCACCTTTATAAATATTTTTGCTTACTCAAGCCATTCAATCTAAAAAAAAATAAATAAACCAGATTTAAAATTAGGATGGAAAAGCATTTTAAACAGTAAAGTTGACTAATAGCAACTTAGAAAATAAAAGTCTTATTAAAACTGTTAATGTTATTTATGCCTTTGCTGTTACATAGCAGATAACTTGAAAATAATTGGAAAATTAAAGTTATCCTTTGGGTTAACTGATAAATGTGGAGATGGTATAGATCATACAAAAGGGATATGTATGCTGAAATTTCAGCATAATCTTCTCCAGAGGTATTATGTTATGCTGTATATAGGCTGGGCTTTTGTGCTTAACTGTCCCAGAGATTTTTCGTTCTGTACACATAATCTCTTCGCGGATTACGAAACCTGACTGGGATCTCTTGTTTCCACAGGTCTCTGCTTGGCTGTGGTTTCACACATGTTCTGTGACAGGTACTCGATGTTTGCAGCTAAACTTCTGACTCACATGATGGCAGCCAGCTTAGGAACACAGGTAGGAGACGGACGGCGGTTCTGACTCATCACGAGATGTCCGTGTCTCCTTTTCTAAGATCCTTGAAAATAGCTTCTCTCAACTTAACTGTTTGCTTTCCTATCGGAGCAATATAGAGAAGGGAAGCAGACAAAAGCGATAATATTAGGCCCAGTGTATTTAGAAAATTGTTTTATTATTTTGAAATTGTAATATAGTTATATCATTTCCCCATTCCCTTTCCTCTATCCAAACTCCCCCACATACTCCTCTTTGTTCTCTGTCAAGTCCATGGCCTCTTCTTTTCAGTTAATGTTTTCAATCCTGACCATATGGTATTGGATAGCCAATCAACACTCTCTTCTGTGGTGAAGGCTATTTCTTGTGTTCTCAGCATTCCTTGGTTGCCTGTAGTTTTTTGTGTAATGTTGAGGCTTCCTGAACCTTCCTCCACCCACATGGTTTATTCACAGTAAAGTGTTGGTATAATCCTTATTTTTTTTTCATTTAACACAGTGAAATGTAGTTTGGAAGAACATTGTCATATGAAAAACAGTTCATTTTTCTATAGTAGGTGAAATAAGAAAAATGAAAATAGTCATTGGCATTCAACTTAAAAGATATACATTTGAAAGCATCATTTAAAGTACAGAAGGCTGATCAGAAGGTGAAATTAAATACCGTTCCTGTCCTTAAGGTGTTAACTGTCTAGAAGAGTAGTTTGCCATTGTAGAGGCTGCCAGATTCTATGTAAATGTCTGTAATTCAGTGTTACATAAGAACATAGATTATTTGTAGAAGAGTAGTTTGCCATTGTAGAGGCTGCCAGATTCTACATAAATGTCTGTAATTCAGTGTAACATAAGAACATGGATTATTTGTAAGCAACTCTGTGAATGCCACAGATAAGAGCATAATTTGTTATTTTGCAAAGGTCATAGACATCTTTGTAGAGGGTGTGAGTCCATTCACATTGCCTATGAATAAAGGAAGCAAAGGGCATAGAAGCGAATGAGACAGAAGGAATAAATGTACAATCATGTCTACCCTAAGGCTGAAGTAATTTAACCCTGACTCTTAATAACTTTCTTATGAATGAAATTTTAGAATATTTTTCTGTAAAACACAAATTGTTTCTGAGATTCTTATAGATCACTGGGAATGACTGCTTTCTTGGAAAAAAAACTTGAAGTTTTATTTATTTATATATTATTTATGTAGATAGTGTGTGTGCGTGTATATGCACAGGTGTGTTGTTGTTTTTGTTCTTTTTTGGGGGGCCCACCACTCAGCTCCCAAATAAATCACACACAGTGGCTTATTCTAAATTATGAATACCTGGCCTTAGCTTGGCTTAGCTTCTAGCCAGCTTTCCTTAACTTAAATTATCCCATCTACCTTTTGCCTCTGGGCATCTCCTGTTCTCTTACTTCTATAAATCTTACTCTTACTCTGTGGCTTGCTGTGTAGCTGGGTGGCTGGGTGGCTGGGTAGCTGGGTGGTTGTGTGGCTGGGTGGCTGAGTAGCTGGGTGGCTGGTCCCTGGGCCCTCCTCCTTCTCTGGCTGCTTCCTTTCATTCCTCCATCTCTTTTCTCCTCCCTCTTCGCAGATTTCTCCTTCTATTTATCCTCTCTGCCTGCCAACCCTGCCTATCCTTTCTCCTGCCTCGCTATTGGCCAATCAGTTCTTTATTAGACCATCAGGTGTTTTAGACAGGCACAGTAACACAGCTTCACAGAGTTAAATAAATGCAACATGAACAAGAGTCACCCACCTTAAATAATATTCTACCACACAGGTGCACACATGCCATGCATGAATGTGGAGGTCAGAGGGCAGTTTCCCCACACTGGCTCACTCTTACCACCTTGTGCATTCCAGGAATCTAACTCAGCTCATCAGGTTTGCATAAAAACACGTTTACCCTCTCAGCCACCTGTGGACTCAGTGACTGATTTCTTTCTCTCACTCTCTTTTTAAATTGAAAATAATATTTTCATACAACATATTCTTAACACAGTATCCCCTCCCTCAACTTCTTCCAGATCCTCCCCACCTCCCCACCCCATCCAACTCAATGCCTTCTTTCTCTCTCTTTAGAAAGCAAATAGGCAATAAATAAATAAATATAAAGAAAAAGCACAAGAAACACATACACACAAATAAAATACAAAATTGGAAACCATAATATACAAGCTACAGAACAGTACAATAAAAATACCCAAACAAATCAATATAGGACAAAAAAAGTCTACAAAAATACCATTAAATTTGTTTTCTATTAACCTTCTACTTCTGGCCGTGGGGTCTGCTCTTAAGTGTGCTTTATATACCCAGTGAGACTCCATTGCAGAAAACTAATCTTTCCTTTGCAAATGGTTGTGGATTGGAGGTGGTCTCCGGGTTAGGGATGGGGCTTGTTTCCACTGCCCCTCTCAGTTCTGGGGCCTCGTCTGCTTTGCCTATGCTGCCACAGATTCTGTGAGTTCATATGTGCGTTAGTCCCATTGTGTCCGGAAGGCACACTTTCCTTGGTATCACCCGCCTGCCCCGCACTTAAAATCTTTCCATTTCCTCCTCTGCATAGCTCCCTCAGCTGGGGTGTAGGAAGTGGGGTGGGAGGTGGGGGAAGTGACAGCCCATTAAAGACTGAGTGTTCCAAAGTTCCTCACTCTCTGCACACTGTCCAGACATGCAATTCTGTATTAGTTCCCACCTACTGCTGGAGGAAGCTTCTGTGATGATGACTGAGTGAGACGCTGGTCTATTGTATAGCAGAATGTCATTAGGAGTCATTTTATTGCCGCATTCCTTTAGGACAGTGGTTCTCAACCTTCCTAAATCTGCGACCCTTAATACAGTTCCTCGTGTTGTGATGACTCCCAACCATAGAATTATTTTCATTACTACTTCACAACTGTAATTTTCTACTATCATGAATTGTAACATAAATATATGATATGCAGGATATCTAATATGTGACCCCTGTAAAAGGGTCATTCAACCCCAAAGGGTCATGACCCATTAGTTGAGAACCACTGCTTTAGAAGAACAATCGTATTTGGTATTCCCTTAAGTCCATGGCCTATCTAGTCCCAGGTTCTTGGCCACCTAGGCAATGTGTCATGCAGAATGACTGGTTTCCTGATTGGAGGGTGGTTATATTCATGGACTCAACTTGTATAAAATTTTCATTGCACACTGTTACTTAGCGAGCTAAAATGTGCTTTATTGATGTACTAGAGGGGCTGAAATGGAAAACTCTAGAACATTGGCATTCTGTTGCATTTTTGTTTGTTTCAGGAATGACAATGTCCTTTAAATTTCATTATTTTTCAGAGAAAAATCAAGGGTTGTATTCCAGATTATGTTTTTAAAGTACCTATAAACTATAGAAAGTGGCAGCTGTTTCCAAAAGGGGGTGCACTGAATTGACAAGGCTGTTTACATCACCAGGAGCCAGGCATAACTGTCTGATCTTGCCTTGGCTTCTTGTATCTGACACAGTAAAGAACCCGCCTACTGTAATTAGAGTTTGCTTGGCTGTATTCACCACCCATTTTGGTGTTTTTTTGGCAGCAGCATTTACATAAGATTTAATTATAGCACCGTATTATTATAGGCAATTCTTCAGCATGCTAGCAGACAAATTTGCTCATGTCTGGCGATGAGAAAGAATGAGCAGAATCTATATGTTAGAACGTTGCTTGCTGATTCACATTGTGCTTCACACTGATTTTGAAGAAAAGGATTAGTCAAGTGCACACATTTCCAGAATATTTTTAGAATAGACAAAAAAATATGGGATAAAAATCATGTAAGGAATGACTCGTGGCACAAAATAACTAAAAAAAAAAAAAATATGGCTTAACAGCTTATTTTCACCCAAGATAATGTTTTAGTTATTTCATGTCAGAAGTCATATAGTATAAAATTGGTATAGTTTTTACAGAAATACTATTTTCTCAACATATTAATCAGCTACTTGGATTTTTAAATATGCTATCTAGCTTAAAGTGAATGTTTTTCTCACTTAGCTAGGCAAGTACCTTTTAAAGATTTATTTTATTTTTATCTCCTAAAGACTGAAGTGGCAAGAGTGGGGCCTGCATGGTCTGCACCAAGCCCTCTGCCTGTATGTCATGGTTGTTAGCCTAGTGTTTTTGTGGGACTCCTAACAGTGGGAGCGGGTGGTCTCTGACTTTGCCTGCTCTTGGGACTCTTTTCCTCCTGTTGGGTCGCCTTGTCCAACCTCAGTATGAGGGTTTTCATCTGGTTTTATTGTATCTTGTTTGGTCTTATTGGCTGTCTCTTGGAGGCCTGCCCTTTTCTAAAGGGAAAGGGAGAGGAAGGGGGAGTGGATCTGAGGGAGATGAGAGGTGTGGGGGAGAGAGAGCTGGGAGGAGTAGAGGGAGGGGAAATGTGGTCTGGATGCACTGTATGAGAGAAGAATCTCTTTTCAATTTTAAAACTATTTTATTCTTAGTAATGTGCATGTATGTGGGGGTTGATGTGCACGTGTACAGCAGAGAGAAGAAGGTATTGCATTCGGGGGAACTAAATTTACGGGCTGTGCTGAGTCACCCAGCATGAGTGTTAGGAACAGAACTTGGGTCCTCGGCAAGGGCAAGAAATGCTCTTAACTGCTGACCTATCTTTCCAGCTCCAAATCTAGGACTTTTCAAAATTTTCAGATTCTCCAAAATGAGAAATGGAGATGTCTACAGAAACATTGACTTCTACACATTGCAAATTTTAAAGGGTTTGTAGTCCAAGTTGTAGAATTGTATTATTGGGGTCATTGCAGTCCAGTCATGGTCCTCTCATTTTGGACCCTCCATCCTTGCCGAATAGACATCATTGGAGCTTAAATTAACTGGAGGAAAAAAAAAAAAAAAAGCAATGGTCTTTGACTATGGTTCTTGGTAAAGGAGTGAAATGTCTCCAGCTACCCATAAGAGTTTTATTTGTGAATACTGGGTATACAGGCTTGCCAAGATGTTTCCTCTTTAAGACTTAGT